ATTCTCTCTAGGGAGGACATTTGGCTTTGGTTAACTTTTTGCAAGAATATTAAATATGAAATTTCAACGTTTTTATCACTTTATTTTCCTAGGCTCAATAGTATATAAGCTAAGAATATCCTATTTTTTTGTAAAAAAAATGTTATTTCCACTTGAAAACAAAAACAGAAATGTGTATTACATAAACTCAATCTTTGGGGTGTGGAGTTTTTTTTATTTCTCAATATTTCTCAAATGACAGTCTCTGTATTGACTTACTTTAAAAATGTGGATGGTACCAACTAAACAGAATGTTAATAGGCAGAAACATTGAACAGGTGCCATTTTGGCAGTTCCAGCAAAGACACCAAGTGGTAATTAACTTTTCCCATCCTCGTTGCATGGTTACACAACAGTCACGTTATCCTGCCAATGAAGCAGCTGTAGGAGAAGTTAAAGCGCAGCTGGAAGCTCAACTCAGGTATTGTCTGTGGAAGTGTTACAGAACTTTCTAGTAATTCAGCACTTATCTCCCAGACTGAGCTTTTTTAAAAAAAACAAAAGACCACAGCTACACTCTTGCAAATGAAAAAAAAAATAAAAAATAAATAAAAAACTGTGAAGCTTAACAGTTAAGGTAGGAAACTGATTGTCACATGTGGATCAAGTCACACTCAAAAGAAAGCTTATCCCAAAGGTGTTCGTTTTCCTTCAGATTCTTCACTACCAGAGACAGAAACCCAACTCAGGATGGCGTAAGCAAAAAGAAGAGGGATGTTTTTGTGTTGGTTTTTTTTTTTTAAATCTGGCTGTAATTAACAGAATGAAAGGAAAGATTTTAGGAACCAGGCACACTAGGAGTTAAGATCAGTTCCTTGAAGGACATTAGCCCCCTCTCTCCCCATCACCTATTTCTGCTTCTCTTCACACTCCATCTTTATTTTTTAAGACATCTCCACAGGGTCGGAGGCAGGGCCATCTGGAGCCCTGGGCTTTTGTCCTTACAACTCCAGACCAAGGAGGGAATAACGCCCCAACCCACTACCCACCGCCTGCCACCAGGTTGCAGACATGTGAGGAGAAGACCTCTGATTGGCCCAGCCTTAGGCACATGCCTCCCTGTGATGCCAGTGCCTGGTTTCTGAGCTTGGCAGAGCCCACCAGGACTAAGTGACGCTGGAGGGTCAGATTCCCAGAAAAAGGCAAGGATGCTCTTTGGGAGGCTGAAGCACTTTGAGTCTACCCCACTTAGCAAGAGGAAAAGAACCCGATTGAGATTTGTCTAGTCAGGTTCCTATCACTGCGTAGAGAGGATGTACTTGGGGAATATATGTATAAAGATACTGCACTTTTCTCCCTTTCTTTATATTACATGAGTACATTTGCACCACGTCCCCTGCCGGCCCGAAACCTTCCACGTTTGCAGCTCAGTGGCACTGATTATCGCTCTCCTCATCCAAACACCCCGCCACCATTAACATCAACTGAACATCACTTTTTTTTTTTTTTTTAATTTTTGTGTGTGTGTACCGTCAAATCAGATCTGACTGGTACAGGAGGAGATTGTCCCTCCTTCCCCGGCAGAGCATCTGGTGGGTTCGAACCGTGCACCTCTGGGATTGTAGTTGCAGCTCCTTGCCACTAGGCCACCAAAGCTCCCCTGAACATCACTTTGATATAAGCAGGAGCCTCTCCTGTCCTCTTCCCTCTCATGCTCGGTAACCATTAACAAACTCGTGTCTGTCTGTGTGTGTGTGTGTGTGTGTGTGTGTGTGTGTGATATATGTATGTACATTTGCTAATTTCACACAAGTGAGATCATGCACTGTTTCTTCTTTTGAGACTTAGCATAATGTCTTCAAATTTCATCCATTTTGTGCTATATACGAAGGCTTCATTTCTCTTTCTTGTGTAATGTTCCACTGTGTGCATATACCATCCTTTACTTATTTATTCAGCTGTTGATGAATGATTCAGTTGTTTCCCTCCTCAGCTGTTGTGGAAAGTACTGCTTCTGTTTGTGCTCCTGCTTTCATTTCTTATGAATGTATTCCCAGGATTGGTATTGCTGATACCAATAAGCTGATACCGTAGGCTGATAATGTGTTCAACCCTTTGACAAGCTGTCAGACTCTTCCACAGTGGCTGCCCGATTTTACATTCTCACCAAAAATGGGTGAAAGTTCTAGTTTCTCCTTAACTTTGGCAATACTTGTTCTCCAATTTCTCCCTCCCCTTCTCATTGCCATTCTAATAGGGGTAAATTGGCATCTCATTAAGGTTTAAAATTTAAAAAAGATACACACATATACCTGTATTGTATAGACGATGAACAGGATACCAGGGTGGGTGGCGGGGGGGAAATTGGATGTCAATTTACATTTAATTGGTTCTACAAGGCTATATGGTAGATATATTTGATAGGTTTTATTTTCTGCTGAATACTTTTCTCTGTTGACCAAATTAACTACAGTGAAGATGCATTACTTCTATAATCTAGAAAAAGAAATGATTCTTAAAAGAAAACAAGACCTGTTTCTTCAGGTGAAAATGCCCCACTCTGTTACACATGGACGATGAGGTGGTGTCACCAGCTAGTGCTTCTGAATGTTCATCATCATCATCATCATCACAAGGAAAAGTATTTGAGTAAACGCTTAGGTTCTCAGCAAAACGACAAACAAATAGCAGATGTCTTTCCTGACGTAGGCGGAGCCTGTCCTTCCAAGGCTGTCCTCTGATGCCACAGCACACACTTCACATTGTCATTCCTGTTCACAGCCTCTAAGTTCGCTTGCGAGAACTTGCTGCCAAAGCGGTGGCTGAGCTGGGACTGTCATCTATTTGAAGAAAAAATGTCTCACTAGCCTATTCTTGATAAGGAAATTGCTGCTAGTGGACCCGAGCCAGGCTGCTCACTCTCTCTGGGCTGCAGTTTCTTAAACTGTCAGAAAAAAGGGGAGAGGGATATATCTCAAAAGCCTCTTTGAGCACTGCGATCTTGTGCTTCCTTCTTTGGAGAGTGGGCATGTTTTATATGAAGTGATTAAAAATTAGAGATATGCAATGTTTAGTGCCCATGATGTGTTCTGCATAATAGGATGTTATGCGATTTGGACATTGTCCAAATACAAGTATTAAAAACCCTTGGCGAGCTTGCTTCCGGTCATCCTTGTCACCTATCTTGGAGCCGGTGCTGCTGCTGGCAGAGGCTGGCAAGAGGTGACTTCGGAAACAGAGATGAGGGAGGAGAGAACAGCCCCTCCTGCTATTCCTCCCGCCCGCCAGATGGACAGAGTTCCAGATCCCATGCACAGAGCCATGTCCTCTGCCTCTCCTGCCTCTATCTTTGTGGATATCTAGCACTTTAGGAGACTGTGTTTGGGATCTTTAAAATCTTTAGAGAAGGCTTCTTTCTCTTTAAAACAAACAACCTTATGAAACCACAGATGTCTATTTGCTTGGACAAATAATACACTTGTCCACTAGTTGACCTATAATAATTTTTAGTCATAAAAAGAATAGTTAACCCAATATACATCATTTTACTGTATGGCACGCATTTGCTCTAAACTCTATTTATATATAACTCCACTACTCAACACAACAATCTAATGAGATCTCATCTCAACTTACTTCCGTTAAGTAGGAACTGACTCGTAGTTGATCCTCTAGGACGTTTTTGAAGGTTGTAAATTGCAAGGGAGGAGATTGCCCATCTTTCTCCCTCCACCTCTCAGCACGAGAGAAACGCCCCCTTGGATCAGCAGGACGACTCTGTCTACAGAGCTCCCTTCTGATGAGTTACTGTTGTTATCCCCATTTCACATATGAGACGACTGAGAGGCGATGGGGTAATGACATGTGCAACAGTTTCTTTACTAAAAGCATAGTTGTTGTGTCCATTAAGTTGATTCTGACTATGATAGCTAGCAATTTGCAATTGATTTAGAAATATAGGAAACTTTGGGAATTAGTGTCAGACCTATATACAACTTGATTAATTATTTAGCTATCATCTGTCTCAAAAATTATTCTATAGGATACCTTTGTAACTCCCCCCCCCCCCGCATTCTTTTCTCAGTTTCCATATGTCTAGCTGTTTGAGGAGGAGTAGAATGTTCCTTTCTTATTGATAGAGAAAAAGGAAATGAACTTTAGGGAGAAATGAAGAGAGCAACATTCACAATGGCAAAAACAACTGGTACTTTATTTTGGGGGAAAAGATGTAGGAGAAGAGGAGAACAGCTGTTGTCTCTGGGACAAGCCCAGGCCAGTCTCTGCGTCCTGTGCACCAAGCTGTGCTTGATTCAGGCAATTCATTGTGGAAAAATGTCTCCAGTCCCGTTAGGAAGGAGAGCTGAGAGATCCTAGATTTTGGTCAGTGCAGAGATGAACTCCATGGAGCTACCAGTCGGCCCTTCAGTCCTGTGATTTTCCAGGGCAGTGCTGTTCAAGAGCAGGTTCTGCCAGCAGTGGGTGTATTCTGTATCTGCAGTGTTAGCCTTCAGTCCTGCCCCACATGAGCGGCTGTTAGACACTTGAATAGTACCCAGTATGAGTGAGGGGTTTTTACTTTAATAAAATAGATAGTTGGTAGCTACTACATTGAACAGTACAGCTATTTAATTGAAAATATTCAGTATATTGAATAACTGTACATTTTATATATGCATATTTCTGAAATGAAATTATTCTTTGGAAAAGTAATTCGAGCTCGTCACAGAAAGTGCAGACAATAAGAAGAAAGTACAAAGTATTCACAGAAATTGCACATTCCACTTTGTCTAAGCCAAAAGGCCGAGAAGCGATGAAATTGCACATTCCGAGATGAGTTCTGAACACACTTTGGTGTTCAACCAAAGGCTTCTACGCTTACGACAACAGGTAGCCAACAGGTTTTATAAGCATAGTTTAAAATGGTCCAGAAAGGGTTAATACACTTTAGTTGAGAAGAATGCTATTTTCTGCTTGCAAAGAATACTGATAGAGGCTTAACAATTTTCTCTTCTGGGAACCAGGTCATCAATCCCATGGGATGGGATGCATTTGGATTGCCTGCCGAAAATGCAGCTATTGAGAGAAATTTGCATCCAGAAAGCTGGACCCAAAGGTATGTATTTACTGTCCGTTCAGACACTTAGATTCAGAAACCTTTAAACCTTTTTCTAAAACCCATGTACAAGAAATTGCAAGCAAAGCAAATAAATCAAAACATGTCAGTCTGGCAAATAGTACACAAATTCTGTCTATATTATTGATGTTTCTCTTTTAGCATTGCTGTATTCTTATCTAAGAGATAACAAAGACATTTAGACTTTTGATCTGTGTGTTCTTTTTGGTGCTTTGTTATTTACAAAGTTATTCTCCCCTTTGAGTTATTTGCATTTGGAAGAGAAAAGGGCAAGGATCACATTTATTACATTTCTGTGATGCTTTTCATCCTTGTCTTCGTAGTGTGACCCACACGCAGATTCTCTATCATTTTCTCCAAAGAGTCTGTTAATTTTTTTGTTGTTGCATTTAGAAACTAGAGGAACTTAGGCCCTCAACATGAAATATATGGCAGCTTTCACCCAGGTGTGGCTTTCTCCAAGCAGGAACACATTCCCAGCCTCACTGTTAAAAAAGCCAGGACAGCTTCCAAAGTGTGCTCAAAGGCCCCTTATGATCAAAGGGGGCCATATGATTGGGCTGCGTGGAGGGAAGAGTTACCTGAGGACGTGGGAAAGATCAGGTGTGAAAAACAATGTATACAAACTTTGTAAGTAAGCCACTATAAAATTTAAAAAATGATAGACTGAATATAGAAGAAAGAAAAAAAAAGGTACTGCCAGAAACTCAGGCAGGATTCAGAAGAAGACATGGGTTGATGGAAATCACTGCTGACATTGGCTATCCAGCATCACTAGATGTTTCAAGTATTCGTCGTGCTCAGCAAGCAAGGTTGTGTCATCTGCATTTTCAAGGTTGCTAATGTGCCTTCCTGCAACCCTGATGCCATCTTCGTCTTGTAGTCCCACATCTTGATTATGTGCTCATCATAGAAAAGGAATAAGTATAATCATAGTAAGTAAATATTGTTGCTTAAAGCAAAGAATACCTGGAAGATGTCTGCCTATGTATTTTGTTGAGCATGCAAAGTCAAACTCAATAAAAAGTGGGTAAGAATATATTGTGACTAACCTTTCGATGAATATTAACTCCAAACACTTAATTTTGCTCAGGCATAGACTGAGGCATAGAGTGCGGCAGTTACTTGAATAGAACAAGGGGATTCTGCATGGTTTAAATTCAGGAAGGATGTGTGTCAGGACTATATCCTTTCATTGTACTTTCACTTTATTCAATCTGTATACTGAGCGTGGATTGCATTTCAGTGCCAAGAAAACAAGGGAGCTCTGGTGGCGTAGTGGCAAGAAGCTGCACTGCAGTCCCGGAGGTACACAGTTCAGATCCACCAGATGCTCTGCTGGAGGAGGAGCAATCTCCTTTTGTACCAGTCAGATCCAATTTGACGGTACACAGCCAAATAAAAAATAAAAGGTCAAGAAAACAAAAGATTCTTACCACTGGACCAATTGGCAACATCATGATGGATGGAGAAGAGATCGAAACTGTCAACAACTTCCTCCTACATGGATCCACAGTAACACCCTTGGTACAGTCAGGAAATTGGGAGACATATTGCACTGGGAAAATCTGCAGCTAGGGACTTCTCCAAATTATTGAGGAGTACTGATGTCACTTTGAGGAATAAGATGCATCTGATTCAGGCCTTGGACTTTCTGATTACTTGCTGTGCATCTCAGAGCTGGACAGTGAATAAGGATGACAGAAAAGAATTGATACCTTTGAGCTGTGGTGTTGTAGAAGAGCATTGAACATCCATCCTATGGGCGGCTAAAAGAACACACAAATATGTCTTGGAGAAGGTGCAGCCGGAGTGCTCTTTGGAGGCAAGAATGGTGAGTCAAAGTGAGAGAGGAAGACCCCTCAATGAAATGGACTTCAGCAGTGGTCTCCAGTGTGTCAGAAATGATGAGGATGACACAGGACAGGGCAGGGTTCAGGCCGGCTGTTCATGGGGTTGCTATGAGTTATGTACTCCGCCTAACACCAATAATCACGGTAATGATCACAAACATAACAATTCTTACTTGTCGCAAAAGAGACTCGAAAATCCTTAGCTTACAATAATGACTCAAGAAAGACTCAATTTCTTTTCCTTATTGGGTCTGGAAGTAACTATGTCTGACAGCTTAACTAAGTTGGCATCATTTTTGTAAGAATGTTGTTGTTGTTGTGTGTCATTGAGTCACTTATGACTCATTGCAAACCTGTATACAAGAGCCCTAAACCCTGCTCTGTCCTGTGCCAACCTCACTGTCTCCGACACACCTACTCTCACTACCCCAGTCACTGAATCGATCCGTCTCATCAAGGGTATTCCTCTCCTGTGCCATCCCTCCACTCTCCTTGCAGCATGCCCAAAGTAAGTCAGATGAAGCTTCAGAATCTTTGACTCTAAGGAACAGCCCACTTAACCCTCTCCAGAACAAACCTGTTTGTTCTCCTAGCAGTCCATGGTAGATTCAACACTCTTCTCCAGCACCACAGCTCAAAGGCATCAGTTTTCTTTCTATCATCCCTAGTCACTGTCCAGCTCTCTGATGCATAGCACGCAATTGTGAAGATTATAGCCCAGATCAGGTGCACCTTAGTCTCCAGCCTGACATCGTTGCTCTTCAGTACTCTAGAGAGGTACCTAACAGCTGACTTTCCCAGTACAATTTGTCTTCTGATTTCCTGGCTGCTGATACCAAGATGTTGACTGTGGAGCCAAGTAAACTAAAACTGCTAACTATCTCAATCTCTTCACCATCCATACTGATGTTGCCATTTGGCCCAGTGGTGAGAATCTTTGTTTTCTTAATGTTGAGCTTCAATCTGTATTGAAGGCTGTAGTCCTTGACTTTCAGTAGCAAGTTCTTCAGGTCCTCCTCAGTTTCAGCAAGCAGGATTGTGTGATGTGCACAACCCAGGTTGTTGATGAATCTTCCACCAATCCTGTTGCCACATTCCTCCTCGTACAACCCAGCGTACCAGATGATCTGTTCTGCATATAGATTAAAAAGGTATGGACACAGAATACATCCCTGGTGGACACCCTTCCCAATTTTGAACCATTCAGTGTCTCCTTGCTCTGTTCTGATGACTGCCTCTTGTTCCAAGTATAGGTTTCACATAAGCACAGTCAAATGTTCTGGGATTCCCATTCTTCTCAGAGTCAGCCACAGCTTGTTGTGATCCACATAGTCAAAAGCCTTTGCATAATCAATGAAGCACAGATAGACATTCCTCTGGTACTCTCTGCTTTCAGCCAAGATCCATCTAACATTAGCTATAATATCCCTAGTACCACAACCTCTTCTAAACTCAGCCTGCACATCTGGCAGTTCTCTGTTGATGTGTTTAGCTGTGATCCCTTAGAGATGAAAGATACAGCTAAAACCAAATTACAATCATTTGTTTTATTATTTGTTTTCTGATCATTTTCTTTCATGAGGAAAAAGAAATAAATTCTCACAAGTGTGCCAATAAGCAACTTCATGATAATTATAAAGAAGATTGATGTTTTCATCTAGTTCCTTTTACTTGAGCCCACAAGCAACACCCATGGAAACAGCAGTCAAGAAACCAAATGTCATGTTTCATTGAGAAAGTCAGCTGTCATGGACTTCTCCAAAGTGCTAAAGAGCAATAATGTCCATTCAAAGACTAGGACAGTGGATAAGGATGCCAGAAAAAGAATCAATGTTTTTGAATCATGGTGTTAGAGTACTGAAGATCCCATACACTTCAAAAAGAACTAGCAAGTTTTATCTTGGAGGAATTGCAACCAGGGTGCTCCTTAGAAGCAAGGATGGTGAAACTTTGTCTTATATGCTCTGGTCATGTTGTTAGGAAGGGATAGTCCTCAGAAAAAGATACCGTGCTAGGAAAGGCAGAGGGTCAGAGAAAAAGAGGAAGACCCTCAACAAGGTGGGTTAACAGTGGGCTTGGGCATGGTAGAGAGAGTGAGGGTGGTACAGAATAGGATTTTGTTTGATTTTTTACTAGTTATCTTTCTATTTATACAATAATGTTCTCATACAGTATTTGTTTTTATGAGACTGAGTTAGTTCCCCCTGCATAATGCTCTGTAGACCCTCCCAAGTTATGTATTAATTTTCGAAATCTTTGCTCCTGAGTGCTGCGTAGTATTCTATTGTGTGAATGTGTCACAATTTCTCAGTGCAGCATGGATGGGCCTTGATATCTTGTTCCTAGGGTTGCTGTGAATCAGAGTCCATTTGATGTCACCTAACAACAGCAATACCAAAGACAAAGTTCCACCTCCAGTTACTGTAACTGTTGTCATAAGCTGTGAGCCTATAAAAGGATAAATTAGCAAAAGTTGTATTTTAGATATGTTTACAACAATGATAATGAAAAGAGAGTAGTTGCTGAGGCTGTTGCTTGTATATAACCAAACATCTTGTAGAACTTACTTTTCCTTGTTTTGACAGTTTAGGGTCGTAGTGCCACAGGATATCTCAGTTAACTGGCCTAATAAAGTATTATGTTCATCTGGTCTACCTCCTAGTTCATTGCATGTTGTTGTGTACTGTAGAGTCAGAACTGACCCAGAGCTGAGCCTCCAGTGGGTTTCCAAAGGCAGTTAATTGCACAGGAGGAGATTGCCCATCCTTCTCCCTCGGAGCAGCTAATGCCTCGAACTGCATGCCTTCAGGATTGAAGCACAGCTTCTTGCCACTAGGCCATCAGAGCTCCTGCTTCTTAAAGACCTGCAAATGACTATCCCAGGCACAGTTAGTCTCTTCATCTAGAGCTGCAAAGGAAGAAAAAGAGACAGGAATAGGTGGAAAAGATGGAATATGTGGCTAAATGCTTCCATGAACAACTAACTGCCAAGGGACCAGAAGAACTAGATAGTGCTTAGCTACCAGGACTGAACATTTTTATTCCATTGGAAAATCTTAGTCAAAAGGGGGGATATGTAGAACAGAATTTCAAATTCTTACATAATTTGGATTTTCTGACACCATAGAGTGTAGACAGACCACTGAAACTGTTGCCCTGAGATAATCTTTTAATTTTATTATTTTTATGTGCGTGTACCGTCAAATCAGATCTGACTGGTACAGGAGGAGATTGTCCCTCCTTTTCCCAGCAGAGCATCTGGTGGATTCGAACCGTGCACCTCTGGGATTGTAGTTGCAGCTCCTTGCCACTAGACCACCAGAGCTCCCCCACTAGGCCACCAGAGCTCCCCCGTGATAATCTTTAACCTAAAGTCATCTTAAAATGGAACAGTAATTTAGCTTAACTGAGAGAGGCAGGAAAAATCTGCCTTGAGCATTATACTCTTTTAAAAACTATTTCTATGTGATCAACTTGATAACAGCTCCAAAGATTAGACAGAAATCTCAGGGAACAGTGAATTTATGCCAATGAGAGAACTCAGACAAGGAGAACTGCACAATGTGAATTTAATCAGTGCCAGTAAGTTGTACATGTAGAAACTGTTGAGTTGGCATATGCTTTGCTGTCTATGTTCTCATCAACAAAAAAAATCGAATTAAATGTAGAAGAAATAAAAAGTAAAATAAAAATAAGAAAGGGAGAAAACCACAAGTTACATTTAGGTAAAAATCGTTCCTTTCTATCTTGATAGGTAATCACCTGAAGCAAATCCGTTAACCTCTCTGTACCTCATTTTTATTATCTGCAAAAGTGCAATCGTCTAAGACCTTCCCCTTATGCCTGGGTAAGGATTAAGCGTTTATCTGCCAAGTGCTTAGCAGAGGGCTTGGAACGAAATGAACTGTTAATAGCTTATCAGAAATTACTCAGAGCTTTTTGATGATTTTTCCACTTTCCATCTGAAAGAGGGTACAATTGAATGAATTCATTCTTTTGCTTTATTTTTTTAATTTTTAAAGATGTTGTTGGGTGCCATTGTGTGGGCTGTGACTCATAACAGCTCAATGGACAACAGATCAGAATCTTTCCCTACCCTGTGCCATTCTCATGATCTCTACCATGCTTAAGCTTGGTGGTAGAGTCACTGAGTCAGTCTACCTTGTTGAAGGTCTTCCTGTTTTGCTGATGATGCTGAGAAAGGTAGAGGGTTGGTGAAGATACACTCAATAAAACATACAGCTGTTCGCAATTTGTACTTCTACAATCCGGTGACATTTTTGTGCCTTCTTTAAAAGTATGCACTGTTCAAGGTCAACATTCTTTTTAATTAAGCAAAACTGCTGTTTGCTTTAAAGACTACTTAAGGAGATAGTTACCATTTAAAGTTAATGTTTAAAGATTTCCTCAGGAAAGTATTTACAGGGGTGCAGGGCTCATCCTGCTTCAGTATATTCAGAAATTCTGGATTCCCTGGGAATTGGAAGTTCTGCACCGTATTTCCTCTTCCCACCTCTCTTTGAACAATATTCAGTAAAATTTGAATCAAATCTTTCATTACTATTAACAGAGCACCATCTAGTTCTTCCAGCGTTCTGTCAAAAGAGGCAGCTGTTTATGGAAGCATTTGGGCACATGGTCCACTTCCTCTCTCAGTTTCTGACCCTCAGTCCTTCATGTGCTGCTTCCATTTGTTGTACTTTGATGACCACTTTGTGAGCTTTAAAGACTCCTCAGTACTATGAAATAAACTAGGACGTAGAAAAGACATACAAAAATCAATATTGGCCCAGTATATTGGACTGTGCTTAGCCCCAAAAACTCTGAAACAAGGTGGGGGAAAGGCCATAATATGTTTGATTATAATAGGCTGTATCAAACACTGCTTTTTGTTTGTTTTTTCGTAGAAATTTATATAACACATTTGGCTATTAATTTTTTTTCATGCTTATAGCTCACTGTTGCAAATAATTTTGTGCAACCATTTCTCTTAAATGATACTTTTTACTTTAAACAGAAAGTCACAACTTCCCATGGTTCTTGTTCTTACCCACCCATTCCTTATAAACAGTAACAACCTTTAGTTTCTATTTGCCAATTCCTGTGATTTCATATATGGGAGATCAAACAATATTTGCTGTTTTGTGACTGACATATTCCGTGCAACATAATATCCACAAAGGAGCCCTCATAGTTTAATGCTTAACGTATCTGGCTACTAACTGAAAGGCTGATGGTTTGAATCCACCAGCTGCTCCTTGGGAGAAAGATGGAAAGTCTTCCCTGTAAAGATTTATAGCCTTGGAAACCCACTGGTGAGTTACTGTGAGTCAGAATCAACTCAGCAGTGGTAGTTTGATGTTTTACGTTTGTTTTTAGTAATATCCTCAAAAGAAAGTGCTGATGGCCTAGTGGTAAAAAGCTGCACTTTGATCCGAAAGGCACTGGTGGTTCAAATCCACCAGTTACCCTTTCAGAGAAGGTCGAGCGTTCTCCTCCTGTGCAACTTACTGCCTCTGAAAACCCACTGAGGGTCAGATATGGGTTGATTTTTGACTTGACAGCACATAACAATCCTCAAAGTTTATCCACAGTATTTGTTAGGACTTCATGCTTCTTAATAGCTGAATAGTATTAGTCTTTTTCCCCCCCTTAAAATAAAAGGAAATACTGATTTCCTAATTCCATGTTAAGAGGCTATCAATCCGCATCTCTCATTTTATTTTATTTTACTATTTTTTGTGTGTGTGCTGTCAAATCGGATCTGACTGGTACAGGAGGAGATTGCCCCTCCTTCTCCAGCAGAGCATCTGGTGGATTCAAACCACATACCTCTGTGACTGCAGTGCAGCTTCTTGCCACTAGGCCACCAGAGCTCCCTTCATCTCTCTTTTTTAAGAGATGGACCGCTTCAGGTTTTTATTGAAAGCACTAGGTAGTTTTTCTTTTGGATTTTCCTAATTAGTACATTACTTTTTTTTTTTTCTATCTTGAATCCTTTTAAAATTAACAAGTGCAAATTTTAAATTTGTGCAGATTACAGGTAGATTGATGAGCCAGAAGTTTGTGTTTCTTTTTTTATTATTAGAAGGAGTTCTTGTTTCAAAGGAGTTGCCTATCTGAGTGGCCTGGGAAATGAGAAGTCCTGAGACCATAGACAAATCTCATTTTCAGTTGATTTTGCATCTGTATAAAAGAAGTTTTATTGTATGTTCATATTCTCATTGATTCTTGGTGATTTACTTACTTTCTGCAGGAAAAATAACATTTAACTCCCTCTTGAGTTAAATCTAGACTTTCCGAGTTTCTCATCACACCCTCAAAGTCCCCACACTCCTCCTAAAACCTTTCCTCTTTTTGTTCTACAGTAATATCAAGCACATGAGGAAACAACTTGACCAACTGGGCCTGTTTTTCAGCTGGGATCGGGTAAGACGTCACTTTTCCCTGGAGCCTCTGGTTTCTGGGGGAAGTGTGCACATTAGCTTCATGCTCCTCCTTGGGGTGGCAGAAGGGAAGGGAGGGAGGCAGGAAGCAGGGACTGAGATTAATTCCCCACAAATAAAGTACTCCAGTGGTATGTTTGCATACAAACGAGTAATTTTTCTCTGGGCATCAACTATGAGAGTTGACTTCTTATTTAACTTCATACTTGCACAAGAATTTCTTCTATCCTCAGCAAGTTCATTTAAAGGACTACTTAATCCACATAAAAGTGATTGGATCTCACCTCTCTGGCCCTTTCTGGTGATTAGATATTGGGTTATTGAGTATTTACCTTTCATTTCTAAGTTTGAGAGGCTCTTAGCAGCCTATAAGACCTCCTTTCAATGTAAGATGCTTTTAAATGTTTATTGAACCAGTCAGTTAGCTTGGATTTGAGGGACATTCAGACACAGGAAGTGTGAGCTGAAGGCTGAAGAGCTCTGATGAAAGACTCCCTCCTTACTCATCAGTGAGTACAGTGAACTTCTGCCCGTGAACTCCATGGAAAACCCTTCCAGTGTCGTCGTTCCTCTTCTTGTGCCACTTACTCCATGGAATGACTGAAGTTTCATTGGTTGGCTTGCCAAGGAGACTTCCTTTTACTCACGAGAAGTACCTGGAACAAACTCAAATGACCTCTCCTAGCAATTTCTTAAATGATTCAGATTTGACAAGTACAGTGAAAAAAGAGAGTCATATTCATTTGAACAGGCCTAATTTTTGTTCCAGCTTCTTCTTTCATTCGTAATGAAAAAGACATGGGTTGAGTTAAAATCTAATTGTGCTATGATGCCATTTTTACCATTGATTTGCATAGTCACCCATGTTTCCTTTCGTAGAGGTGTGGAAATACCCCTGGTACCCAGGTCAAGGTGTCCTGAGGCTCCAGGGGAGGTAACTAATATGGAGAGAATTGAGTAATACTCAGAGGCCTTCTCAGAGGAGATTATAGATTTTTCTTGGAGGGCAAAGACTGACTCATTAATCCTCTAGGATGGTAACTAGCTTAGTTCTGGTTTTTAAAATTATTGTATTATTTTCCAGAATGATTTTGTGTGGTCTTTTACTCTCAAATTATAAAAATCAATATAATCTACTTTTATAAATTGGATTCATCATACATAGTTTTGGGGGTTTCTTCTTCTTTTTACCTGGTAGCGTCACCATTTTAGGAGATGGTCTTTGGAAAAGTAACTTATCATAGCTTTATAGTTTCTCTCCTTATAAATTCATCCTAATTATGCATTTAAAGAGATTTTTATTTTATTCCCCCCCCCCCGCCCCTGTTAAAAATAGAGTTTCTCAGTCCCTGTTAGGCAAATCTGAAAGGTTCCACATGAGCTCAATTAAGTGTTCTGAGATTCCTGTGCTTCTCAATTTATCCTTCCTTTACTATGGTCCTCACAATTGAATGCCTTTGCATAGTCAATAAAACACAAATAAACATCTTTCTGGTAGTCTCTACTTTCAGCCAAGATCCATCTGATACCAGGATTGTGTATTTCCACTTCCGTTTTTATGTTCAGATTCTTTCTTTCTCTGGCCTTGCATTTTAAATTTTCCTGACTCTAGTTCACTCATCTATTCTTTTGCTTTCATTTTGCCTGGTGCTTAATGACCTACCCGTCCTCCATTGTTATCACCGCCTCCTCATGGTTTTGGTCTCTTTGTTTTCTCTCCTTCTGCAGGAACGGCTTATGTTTGCTTTCCACATCACTGATTGCATTTTCCACAGAATTGATGTTACTTTGTCTGGTTTCCTATGCAGATAGGATTCTCAGTAGAGCATGTTTAGATTTATTATGATTTTGTATTATTTCATTTGGTTCTCATTTTCTTTCTCATGCCTCTTGGCCCCGGTACCTTTCTTCCTTCTTTTTTTTTTTTTTCCTATTTTAACTCCTCATCTCTATGTGTTCATCATTCACCTTGAGACATAAGAGATGCTCTTGAAGTTTTATTTTCATTTCCTGTAATAAATCTTTTTCACGAGTTTGGAATGCCGTATTGCTCTTGTTTGTTTCAGACTCTTTTTTAAATAGACTTTATGCATTGTGCCCCCATTTCTCAAGTGAGGTGGGCAAGGGTGTATCACTCCAGTGACCTGAAGGGAATGGAGCGTAATGTGCAGTAGTCTCTGCATCATTTCCTCCTGGATGATTTTGTTCTGCTAGTGTTTGGAGAGTCCACTCCACTGTTCCTAGTACATCTTCTCTTTGATCTAATCTTCATTCCAGTGTGAGTTATAGCATCAAAATCCCTAGACAAAGAACTCTCTGACCAGGATGGTTTTGGAACACTGCTGAGTCTCCACGGCAAGTAGTGTCAATCTGTGGGCTTCCCATGTCTGCACTCTGTTCCTTTGTCCTGTCTGGGTCTTGCCTTTTTTACATAAGGAGCACCAGAGCCTTACTTGGCAAGAAGCTAGCCTGTTGTTAAGAGCGGGAGATGTGGTTTGGTTGACAGTACTTTTCTTCAATCTGACCCTATCTGCTGAAATGTCCTGACATTTCTGGCATGTTGATGGCACCTTCTGTTATTTCCAGTATTGGGGTAACCCCTGTGGTGGCTCCCTCCCCATTATTATCTTGTGTTGATCATTTCAATGTTAGCGCTGGAAGCAAGTTGAGAGACATGCATTCCTGATGCCATCGTGCTCAGAAGTCCTCGAGAACCTTTTGGTTAAGCCTTTACAATTTGATTCATAAATGTGAAGCAGGTCAGTAGAAGAATAGTGTGTTTTCTTGTGACCTTTGCAAGTACTGTTCCTGAAATCTCATAAAAGCCAGATAAGTCCGCTTATTATGGCTAGCTGACAATTATCAGAATAATTTGAAAATAAGGCGACTCAGAAATGTTATCTCTCTCCCCCAGAAGGAGAAAAGCTCTAATGGCCCAGCTCTTGACTTGAATCCTCATCATTTTTCTGTACCTGTTGCTGTTGAGTTGATTCCAACTCCCGACGACCCTCTCAGACATAATAGAACTGCCCCGTAGGGGTGTTTAGTTGCCGGGGAACTCTGATGGCTTAGCGGCAAGGAGTTATGCTTCCAACCCAAAGGCACAGGGTTGGAATCCACCAGCTGCTGCTCTGTGGGAGAACCAGGGGCAGTTTTCTCCTGTGTGATTTACTGCCTCTGAAAATACCCTAGAAGGTCAGCTGTGAGTGAGTGGGCTCCCACTCGATGGTACACATAATTTGGAACCAAGTTGTTGAAACCCAGCAGCAACACCAGATCTTTCTCCCACGGAGCACCTGGTAGATTTGAAATGCTAGTGTTTGTTAGCAACTAAATGCTCAACTACCACTTCACCTGGGCTTGCTTTCTTCCATGAGAGGGATCTTAATTCTCTGCATTAAAAAGAGTATGCATTTCTGCAATCAATACATGTCTGGTGAGCCAGCATGATAATCAAATGATGTCTTCTGGCACAGGACTGTGTTTGACTTTTTTCAGATGTTGTTTCGCAAACAGTCTTACCTCCTTGGGAAAATGTAATGTAAGAAATGGAAAGCTGGGTATAAATAGCTAGCTGAGCATCTACCGAGGAAAGAGGAAATAAAAATCCCAGACTCTGTAATGAGAGACAAAGATTGAGATTGAGAAATGTTTCTTTCTGGAGCACGTGCATTATAGGATAGCTCTCAGTCTTTCTAAGGAGAAGATGGGGACAGCATTCCACTCATGGGTCTGGTTTGTGGCCTTGGTGATCATGAACTGGCCCAAGGGCATGGCCCTGTGAGTGCCATGTGAAAGATGCCAGCATTTCTATGTTGTTGGGGTAGCCCAGTGAGACAGATATGTCTCCAGTGTTGATTTGTGCCGTCTCATCACTGCTCTGGGTACTGATCTGGTTCCAGATCAGGCCTTGACTAGAAATCTTGAGTAGAGCAGACCTCTGGAATCTGATTTTTATAAAAAATTATCTGAATTATTCTTTTGGGAGTGGTGGTACCGAAATGTTCCCTTCAATATCCGACAAGCACAAGAAGGAAAAACCAGATGAGAGCCCAAATAATGCCTGTGGGGTCTGCCTAAGAGGGATGGTGGTGCCTGTGGGACGGTCCTTCTGCACCCTGTTCCTCTGAGGAATTGAAGCTAAGCCAGAAGGAAACTTGTTCTAGGACTGAATTCAGCCCATAAATGACGTTTGCCTTAGCCTTTCTTATCCTCCCTTAGTGGGGTAATCAGAAGCTGTTTTCTGAGTTTCTTTACTGTGGAAATCCGTGTTTTCATTTGCACTCATTTTTATTAAAGTTCCTGTGCCAGGGAAGCACAGCACTTGCTGTCCCCTGAGTTTGTTTTCCCTCTGAATAGACCAAAAACACTCTCTCCCCTCGGCCTGTGAACTAAGAAGGATGCAGAGGGTGTGTTTTCTGAGCAGAGGGAGCAGCTGGGTGTGAACAGTAACAGACGGCAGAACCGCGGCAGGGCTGGGCTCTGGCAGGACTTCCCCGGGACAGGCTTCCCCGCCACTGAGCCCTTCCACGTTCTGTCATTCTGTGCTGCTGAGCCTGCCACAATGCCAGGTGCCCTCCGAGGGTCTGTGGCCTCTCTACCATCTGCACGAGCCCTTTGCTTCTGTTTCTCTCTCTCTTTCCCCTTCCCTCCCTTTCTCCCCTCTCCTATTCTCTCACT